CCATTTTACAACGATGAAATGAATTAATCATTTACGCCTGCTTGTCTCTTGATATATATCTTCATAAGAATTTGAAAATTCCTCAATTTCATTATATACGTAAAACGTGTTTTCCAAAGAACATTCTTTTACTCCTCGACTAAATGCGTTCTCATCTTAATTGGTGTTACAGTAAAAATAAACGACATTGACTAGAGAATGTTGTATAAAGATTTGTTTTTACAATCAAGGAAAAACTAATTTGAAAATGACTCATTTATACGTCGTTTAAGAAATGTGGAAATCAATAAACAATGAGTTTTATAGGTATACAATTTTTAATAGATTCTTTTTATACATTGGAATGTAGAACAATTGTTAACAAATTGCAGCAAAATTGTGCATTGACTAATATTTAAAATTTTGACTATGCTTTGACTATGCTATTTGACAAATATTTTAATTGCCGATTATGGTATATTTTCGAATTATCCTTCAGACAATTAAAGACGTGAACCGTTGAAGACCTAAATAGGCACTTAAAGACCTAATTCCGTTTCTTTTTACGTATAGAATCCCGGAGTTAATTAGAGCTTAATAGCGTCGTGTTCTGCGAGTTGTGCCACTAGTCGACGGTATTGTAGCGTAGTGTATTTACATAAATTGTATAAAATAATAGTATAAATTCAATGATCAAGTTCACAGGTCTTGATAACTGATAGTGAATTTTTATTATCATACAAAGTGTAAAATGACATGATTATTTCAATTTTTCCTAAAATCTGCCACCCCTAATTTTTGCCACCCACAGGCTACACAGCGCGAAGAGGCGATTAGGTGAACAGAGCAGGTGAGCGCGCACACACATACAGTACTATACCCAAACCCAACACACACAGGTGCAACTCCCCCCACCACACCCAACGGGTATAAATAGTGGTTCGCTTGGCCTGCGCCACAGCATTCTTACTGCTACTCTTGCTCGCTGTAGTCACAAACAAAACACAGCTCTGCTAACTTCTACTTGCAATTTGCAATGGCTTATGCTCCATCCAAGTCATCTGCTACTGAAAAAGTGTTTTCAAACGCATCGGACTCCAAAAGATTCAACACTGGTTGTAACAAGAGCTCACCACAACGTCCACAACTAACACCATTTGGCATCACTCCGCTTCAGGCTTCAACTTCAACTAGAAACTTCGCTCCGAGTGCTTCTTCTTCTTCTCGGCCTCGTCCATTCTATTGTAGTTCTCCTTCAGAGAAGTGCAAAGAGCTGATTCGAATAAGAAAACTTTGTTTTGCTCTCTCTTTGTGTCACCGTTGTAACGATGGAGCAATCGATGGAGAACGAAGTGACGAGACTTGTGATTTAAACCAGGATGTGTACTCTCCTGTTTTAAGTCCTGAGACTAGCACATCGTTCTCCAGCGAACTTAAAGTAGAAGATCCTAAACCAATCCGGATAAGAAAAATGAAAAGATGTACGAAGTACTTCTTTGTCGAGTGGTTGGGGTTCAATAGGATAATCATAAGACGCGGAGATACAAAATACCTCTTGCGTTTGCCCAGAGGTATGGAAAACCCCGAACACCCTACAAAGAGGGACTATCTTATCCGGGATGCTTCGGGATCTTTGTCTTGGAAATCTTTAAAACAGACACAGTAAATTCACTTTTCAAAATTTCGGTAAAAAAAGGTGTGGGCAATACGTTTAGTCTGGTATGACATGTCAGCATGTTGCAGAATTAAACGGGTTGTCCACACATTTTTTTACGAAGTTATAGTAACCTTGACCTAGTTCGCGGACTTGCAAATTTCGTTTATTAACTGATACGCATAGTTAAAGAAGTAACTGAAGTATTGCTGTAAAGTGTTGGTGGTGAGCAAAGGCCGTTCTAGGGCTTTAATCCTTAAAGTAATCCACCTACAAATATAATATTGCAGCTTTTTAGCTCGTATTAGCTTTCAACATATAAAGCATGTTACTAGTTTTCTGTTAAGTTTATTTTAAATTCAACTACCTACTGTAAGTTTTAATACCAACGTACAAAGAGAACATCCTTCCTAAAATTGACAAAAATCGCCTTTTTGGTTGCTGCTACACAGTACATAGTACAATGTACAAGCTGCTACATAGATAATACCATAAACATAAAGTTTTCACAAAAAAACTACATACAACGAATAAACAAACTTACCTTCTCAATATAAAGTATAGAACAATTTAAATTAGTATGTCGTTTATTAGTGAGCATCTATTGTATTGTATTGTATCTTATTGTATTGTGGGTTGAGTATGCACTGAAAGTGTAACGAATTTTGATTTCTGATTGATGTTGGGGGCATCTTGGAGATGATCAAAACTTAATTATGTTGTCTCCCTGTAATCCAGCTACTAGGAGGTCACGAATTGAGGATATTTATGATTATGGGCATGCAATGTGAATACGGTACTCCCTGGTGTGGATTAACGTCCGCAATTAATAGTGAGTACTGGTACTACAACTATCCGCAGTACAATCCTGATAATTAGACCAATTCGTTAATACCAAGGCAAAAATGTGGGTCGGATTCCACTATAGTAAAGTGGTAGGTTCCTTAGTTGCCATTAGCTGTATGGGCTATTAATTAACAGCTGTGTCTAAGTCGGCTTTAGTCGCTAAGACTACATGATCGCGCCGCTCATCCTACACTCATCCTTCATTCACATTTGGGTAAAATAAATACGCACATAGTGGCTTCCCCATCTTAAATAATTGATATAATTGAATGGGGTTTAGCATGTGAAATCAGTGAATCACAATGTTATCCCCCTTAAGAATAGCATGGAAGGGGAAATTTACTTTCTTTGTGGGGTTCAAGTTTGGAAATGCAACTTTTTAGATTTTTTCCAAAGTGTTGGGCCCAATACCATTAACATGTAGCAGTGGTCTAGATTTTCCGTTCCTGAATCAGTCAATAATTTCATAAAATGTTTAATTACTTAACGTATGTACCAGATACGAGGTTTTCCTAAAAAAAATCTTTTTATAGATTATAATGTTTGTAATGAAATGCAGTTTACACCATGTTTCTGTCGTGTCTAGTTTGCGATATACAGAGTGTTCAAAACAGGTGGGGACATAATTTACGTAGTGATTCCTTGGGTCAAAATAAGAAATAGCTAAAATACTGTATTACGATTTGTAGTTGTAAAATAGGGTAGAACGAAAGCTCGCCCCGTGGTCTAAAACTCGACCAAAAGTATGCATTGTGCAAACTTCTCTGTTTTCACCCCACACTGAAAATAAAGAATGTGATTGGAATTTCTTTAATTTGTTTTGATTTTCTGTTGATATTTTGTTGTTATTTCGTTACCAACATGGCAACCCATAAAGCCCATGTTATTTATTTTAAATTTTAAATTAATTTTTATGTTTTTTTTAGCCTATTTCAATTTATAAAGGGATTCTACAGTTTATAAAGTAGTATGGTCAAGCTAGCTGACAAAAGTTTTGCAAAAGTTTTTTAGTATAGAAAATAAGGCTAGGCTAGGCAGGTTTACCCCAATTTTACAAATAAAAATCGTAATATTTCAGTTTGATAGGGAATTAAAAATGCTAAATAAAAGTGTTTTTGTTATTATTTCACAAAATCAGCCATTTTGTAGGAAGTTAATTAAGGTTGAATGAAGAGAAATATTTTTTCTAATATGGTCTCTTCTACCTGTACATACCAATTTTCAGAAAGATCGGTTGCAAAAATTAAAAGATCAAAAATAATTATTCAAAAACACAATATAGCGGATATCTGGGCAATGAAGCGATTAAAAAAAAAAAATTTATTCTTGATTTTCTATTTATTTTGACCTAAGGAATCACTAAGTCACCTTTTTTTGAACACTCTGTATAAGCAATGCTGAATACCCCATGTTACTTTCCCCGTCCCCAAATTGTGCACCTGCTGGGTGACAACATAGGTTTTGGTCATCTCCAAGATGTGTCCAATAACAATCAGAAGTCAAAATGCGTTACACTTTCAGTGCTCAACCCCCTATAGATGCTAGACAAAGATTTTGTAGCGTTACTGAGAGCGCCTTCAATAACAGTTGTACAGTTTGCAGTACACATGTGCTGTAAAGTTTCGCCTAAATACTGCAGGCGTTATGATGATGCTACGTTTCACAATAGTCAATGGTTTCACATGTTGAAGAGGACATGGTCCTATAATAGCACTTAGCACTAGAAGCACTATAAATCACTAGAACGGAGTTCAGTGGGGGTTCGGCTCCCTGCACTGAAACATCGCGAAACTAACGACGATGCTCTAAAGTGAAATAGAAGTATAAAATGATAAATTACGTGAAAATTGTTTTTCTTGACGCAAACAACACCTTTATGCATATTATTTAATTATTTTAAAGCTCGTATTGATAAGTCTTCTTGCAGAATACTTTACTTTTTTACCATTTGCAGTGCGTAAAAAAGGTTTTACCGTCTTTAAACATATACCAATAGCTTTTAATTAATAAATCAGTCTTTTTAACAATTTAAACGAATTCAAGGTTATAAATAAAAGACCACACGCTATTTTGTTTATACTTAAAACAGTTAAAAGTAAATTAAATCTCTTTTAGCGTATTGTTCGAATGGTTTTGTTCCTGGAACAATGTCATGATAAAAGATGTTTTAAGCTATTCAAGTTCAATCATATTTAAAGTAACTCTGGGTAGAAGAGTAGTTGAAATAATTACAGTAGTTTCATTATAATCACAATGTAATGTAGAGCGGTGAAAAAATGAAATTATATACATAAAAATATAGCTTGAGTAATTTTGGCATAGAAGCAATCGACTGAATTAAATTAAAACAAAAATGTCACTTTGAATTCCACAATGGTTATGTTTGTTCCTCATCGTCCTATGTCATTTTATTTTATCACAATACTTGCTTCCATGAGCAACTGCATTTTCAAAGTTCAATATTATATCCGTTGGATTCTTTGGTGTCTTGAGTTTGGATTGGTAGCAGCTCCTGAAGAATCTAAGATGGCGAATGATGTGATGCCTGAAGTAAAGAAGACTCTGCTCTAAGATTTTCCAGTTCATACTCCGACACAAGGGAAGATATCTTGCTTTTGACTTCCACCTGCAAGAGGGGGTTGAATGTTCTCACGGTCGCCTCCATGGCCTCGAAGAACTTCGTCAGATGATCCTTTTTGGCTCTATTGTCTTGTCGGTCAATTTTCTTCTGTAAATAACTATTTAGGGATGAGTATATTGGAAGGCTTCGCTCCTTGTGGTCAATTATAGACTCTTGCTTAAAATCTTTGACTGTAGAAACTTCTGCATCAAGTTCAGCTGGTTCATTTGAAGGATCTTCCAGTTCGTGATCTTCCGAGTTTTCAAGCAGAACTGAGTTATATTTTGGCTCTCTTTCACTGATGAATGGTTTTAAAAATGACATCAAATCAGCATATCTGTAAGGCTTTGTGGGGTTTGCCTGTCCGCTTGAAATTCTTTGTTTCTTCAGCGACTTTCGGTAGCTGTCGCGAATCGAAAACCACTTCTTTTTGCACTCGGTAACTGAAACAACATATTCTGATTGAATTAAGCATTTTGGTAAATTAATACAGCGTGTTCCTATAAAAATACATAATTAAAAAATCTTTAGATGACTACGGTTGGGATGAAATATAAAGTATGTCTGAATCTCAAGTATAGATAAATAAATTTGCCAAGTTTGATCAAAATATATCCATAAACAAGCAAACTACAAAAATGTACCGTACAATACTTTCCATAAGAATAACATAGGAATTTTAAATTTACATTTTTTTAAATTTTCTCCGTTACCAATAACCGTGCAAAACCATTATGATATACTAAATTATTTGTTTTTTTAAATCTCTTTAAAAAGGTCTATAAATAAATTGGGAAATTTTATGTTTGGGGGTAAAAAATGAGAAAACCCAATTTTTACCCCATAAAACCCCCATAAACCCTCATTAAAACCCCCATAAAATAGCGTTCCCATGGTTCGATCATGCTGGTTTGCGAACGCATTTAAGTTTATCCCACCTTACACCAATATACCAAATTTAATCAAAATCGGATGAAAAAATTACTCAAGTTATCGTGTTCATGTCCGCGTGTGTACACATACAGTAATTATACAGAGTGTTCAAAAAAGGTCGGGACATAATTTACGTAGTGGTTTCGTGGGTAAAAAATAAAGGGAAAATCAAGTATAACATTTTTTCAAAATCGCTTCATTAACCAGATATCCACCATTTCGTATTTTTTACATAAACATTTTTATCTTTGGACTTTATTAACTGATCTTTATGAGACTTGTTATGCATGTTAGGTAGAAAAGACCCATGTTGGAAAAAAAGTTCATCTTGATTCAATTTAAAATTTCTAAATGGTTGTCATTTTAATATTACTTAAACTTAAATTACCTACTTAAAATCGGCTGATTTTATGAAAAAATGTCAAGAACACTTTAAATTATCATTTTTAATTCCCTATGAAACAATAACAAGTTCAAAAAGATAGCTTATGCCTTATTCGTAATATTTAAGCTATTTCTTATTTGATCTTTTTGAACAAGTCGTTTAAACAATTTAAACTGATTGATATACGCGGACCATTTATCATTCATTTCATATACTATATTTTGTATAATAATCAGTAATAAAGTGTTCTTCATCCTACCAGATAAAACCATAGATAAAACATACTCCCTTAAGTAAATTTCCCATCCTCATGGAACCTTCGAGCGTTGAAATCGACAAGATCAAAACAACTGTTTGAGAGGAGATATTGCTCTACACAATATGCGTACCACAGCACTATGCCACGTCTCCATCGCCTTGGGAACTGTCTTCCAGAACACCTGGACTTCTTCTCCATGTCCGATGAAGTCTTTAGAAATGGGCTGAAGAGTTTCTTCGCTTAGCTGCTGTTGATCATTATACTGTTACCTTCTTTTTTGTTTCTGTAGTTGTTGTTTACTGTTACTTGTTTTTTTGATTTTTTATTTTGTTAGCTAATTACCAAATTTGTTGTTCCCCATGTTGATTGTTAATTATTGTTATTATTTATTGTATTTATTGTTATTTATTGTTTTTTATTGTTATTTATTGTTATTCATTGCTATTCATTGTTATTTTTTGTATCTTATTGTTATATATATTGATATATTTTGATACATTCTTATTTATTAGGGTTCTTTAGTCTGGTCATCTTGATGTGATGTATGAATTGTTCTATGTAAGTTGAATGAAACTTCTTGCCATGATTGTATGTATGAAAATGGAGTTTTCCGTCTGTAAATAAATAAATAAATAAATAAATAAATAAATAAATAAACAGCTGAAGCCAATTTGATTTTAGTTCTGTCGGTGTACTGTAGAGTCGTGTTTTGTTTACAATTTGTTTTTTTGTTATTTCAGCCATTTAAAACCTCGTTTAACCTAATAAAACTAATAATCATAAGCAATAACTCGTACCCGATTGGCATATTTATATAACCAAACCAAACAGTAAAGCAAAATCATGAAATAACCCTAAAATAATAGAAACAATATCGACACTAACGCCCAGTGTCACCGGACATGAACTAGACACGAAAAACAAGCTAAATTTACAATGGGATGAGAAGTCTACTTGGTTGGTTAGTATATAATACTACTTACCACTGCTGTTGACAATAGATGCTATTTCACTCCAAGCGTTTTCTTTCATAAAGGCGTCGTGGTAGTTCCTATCCGACGAATTATATAAATGTTCATATAAACGCACTGCCTCTATTAACTCTACATCTGCACATCGAGACATATTGAACAGGTAATAAACAACTGTTCTAATCTAGTAGGAACAGTAAAACACTCGACTACAACCAGTGGAAACATCAGCTGCATCAGCTGGAGGGAGGGAACGGATGCGTAGGGACTAGGGAGGATGTCCGTGCCGCTACCCCCACCAAACTAGATGCTTTGTATTGCCGCTCCGGCCGCCCCCCCCCCGGCGTGGGGCATGGTTTCCGGTTTGATCCGGAACGAATTACGAAATGGACGGTCCGGCGGTCGGCTACTCTGGTCCGTAGCGGCGCAGTGGCGAGTGGACATAAAATACTGGACACAAACCTCAACACCTTTACAGCTGACATAACCAACTATTAAATAACCACTACATTAAACGAAATACACTACAATATACTGTTTTAACGATCTTCCCACGCAAGGATTTAGTCCACAACAGCTGTTTGCCGCCAGCTTAATCAAATGGGGTTCATTACGTACTACTGTAAGTAGTTTTTTATCGGACACCAGCTGATTATATTTGACATTGAGTGGCTATAAATAAAAACACAACTTTCTCTTAGGAGTAGTGATTGTTAGTCCTTCAGTAGGTGAGGAAATATTAGAATTTATACAGATATTTTATTGTGTTGTAAGTTAGCTTAGAGTAGTATAGCGTAAAATCGTACGTCCAAAATGTGTTTACCGGACTCGTATGATAATTCCCCACTCGCGTTCTTCTCGCACGGTAACGACCACAATCGTCAGGTAAACACGACGATTTTCGGGACTAATAACGACGTAACATAGTCTAATATACTATCAATTGACGAAATCACAATTCACAATTCATAACCTGTAAATACGAATTACAGTATCCTATGATACGAAAAAATTGAAGATTCAAACCATTGTTGTAATTGAAGGTCGGCAATGCAGCACAGCGTTGATAGTTCCAGTTATCACTGTCCGACTGCGCTGATGTCTAGTTGTTGAACAACAATATCGCGCGGCCATTTGAAATGAAATTAATTACAGCTTTTACAGAGCTGTATAGGTAAATTACAGAGAGTCGTAAAAATATTACGCATACAGTACATGTCTTCATCAATTTTTATTGGAATCGTCGCGTCAATCTGAATCCAATTTATCATATTATTGGCAAATTATTTCTTGTTAAGAGCTGAGATCACAACAATTGTACGAAACGCCATCTTCATATTTTATAAACAATACAGTAGTGGCAAATGTCAGCCCACGAAAACCCGTAGGAGAAAAACAACAAGAAGAAAAATAGATGCTATGACTTATAACTGTTGTCACTATACTGTAAAGTACCTAAATTTATAAAACTTTAGTTAGACCAAATCCAAATAATAATGAACAACACAACAATACAAGTAAAGTGAAATTTACCGACGTCAGATTTCGAATAGTGTAAGGTGGTGCGATCACATTGCAGCGGCTAATAGCCGAACTTCTAACAATCTTACAGAAATATCAGCTGATGCGAAGCAAGTTGTGCCAACAACAAAGCATGGGTTATGAATAGTGTTCGTACGGTTATTGTGTTAATAGCGGTTTTACTGAAGTTCCTACATTTTAAAAATACTCCTTTTATAACAGAAATCGTTGTTGTGAAGAGTTTACGAAGTATTTGTCAGTTCAGGTCTGTCTATGTATGTGGGAAATATTTGTCTGAGCAGTGTTATGTTGGCTAACATGGTTCACGGCTGTCTGCCTGTCAGTTCAGTCCGCCAGTTCGCTACCCGTCAGTTGATTCAAATTTTAGTTGGTTTGTGTTTAGTGTAGTGAATTCCCAAACTCGCCGGTTCAATCGTTACATTTTTTATTTATTCAATCAGTGTGTTGTTTTGGTGCTCAATAAAGTGTGTGCTAGGAGATTTAATTACTCAATTTCAATGGTTCTTGAATACCTGTGTAAAAGTGTGCTTTTAAATCTTCGACGCCGGTGTTTTTAGGTTAGGCCTTAGTTTGGATTCTATAAACTCGATTCATCCTGTTGAAAATATATTCAATTTTAGCCTAATTATGGCAAATAACGTAGAAAAAGAACCAGCTTCGAAATTTGAACTCTCTCGAGAGGTTTCTAGCCATTATTTCAAAAGCTCTTTTGCAAGATCTATGTTTAGTAACTCTAACCAAAGCAAGTCCTTAGACTTTGTTTATTTTGACAACAGTACTATCGACGAAGAAAATGAAAACGAGAGTAAAACACCAACAAACGATTTTAACATTTCTGGAAATAAGGCAAACGGTGTTTTCACTAGCCCGCTGAAACGTGGATATTCAACTAAACTCTACGATACAAAATACGAGCCGGAGTTTCTCAAATCCAACTCTGGAAGGAATCAAAACAACAACGCGATTACTTTTTGGAAAAGAAAACAGGTAAGTGTCATAAACTTAAACTTTTAGATTTAGATAACTTTCATAGTTAATTGATCTTCTCCAATACTTACTTAACTCAAATAAAAATATGATCATCAAAGAATAACGTAAACACTTGTCAGTTATGGCCCAAGCCAAAGTGACAAATTTAGATTCCTAAAATTGTATACTCTACGTACTTAGTGCATTCTAAATGCAGATTGATAGCTGTGACCTCACTACAAACAAATAATGCAGCATTTATAGTTTATGATGTTGAAACGGTTTAGCAAACAGTTTTATGTCGTTATAAATAGCCTCATTGAGAAATAATTAGGCCTGTAAGTCTTTCCACGAATATTCCGAAGAGTTGTCGCCAATATTTTTCGCCGAGGAAGTGGATTTAGTGTGTTGTCTTTGTCTTTATTAAACGATTCTTAACTGCTTGCCTGGTTTTTATGACTGTTTTATAAGGTATCCTACTTGTGGCCAGTTTCAAAACGGATTAATGGACTAGGCCTAGGCTATACTTTATTTTGATGTTACTAGCCCCCGTTGTTCAATAAAATTTAGGCCTACATGGAATCGTCTAGACTAAAATCAACACAAGATACTAACATAAACATTCTAAGTTACTGTAAGGGAGTAAGTTATGTTTTATCCATGATGAAATCGTACCAACCCCTGTTTCATAGATTTTAAAATATGGATCAACTTATTTTATTATCATTGTCAACTAGCTAATTAACATTTTTCAACCTAAAGATATTTTTTAACAAAATATTAGATTAGGGTTAGGTAACTAGGCCTATGTAAATTATTGCTTGTCATATTTTGTAGTGGTATAATCAAAAGAGTAATGGGCAGGCTACCAAATCTATAAAATAATAGGCTAATACCCTAATAATAATAAAGGATTTATTTTATCATGGAATAGGTTTGAGCTATGTTACGAAATTAAAAATCAAGTTTGTTTCAAGTGAGTTGCTTCAATCGATTTGGCCAAAAGGAGATTTCACAAAACCAAATTCAAATCAGCGTTATTTCATTTTTCTGAGAAATAAGTTTTTCCTTCTACGAAATTGACCCGCGTTTCTCTGTAGCCCGGTAGATTAAAAACTCTTCAGCATTCTGTAGGTCAGCTAGCTGGTGAAGGTGAGGAAAAGGTGTCAGTTTCTTACCTATCATCATCACCTGAGTATTTTGTTGGGTAGGTAGGTATACCAACCTATGAACAGGAAATGGAGCGTGAGTCGCTGAAAAGGTAGTTTACTTCATTTCCCCTTAAAACTGACTATTTCACTTATACCGGTACCCTATAAAAAGGGGCATCCACTCGTCCAGTGATCACAGGGGTGACACATATACCCCGTATAAACCGTACCCGGGAATCAACTCTTGGATTCATAGATTTTTGTGCACACCAGAAAACTTAAGTTTCCACATATTTCCATGTGTATTTGTTAAAAATATGGAAGATTTATGTCACATTCAGGGTTTGCTGGGAAAATTAGTAGGTATGTAACCTACCGGTAATTAATTGCTAATAGATTTGGTGATTATTAAGAATATTGTAACATTAATGCAATTGTAACACAGATACAATCTCAACGATTGTTGAAAGATGAGTTTGTAGCTTTGTTACCACTTAGATTTAACTACGAATTGTTGCAATTCTTGGAACATACTTTCTTTTAAGGTGGATTAAATATTTAAAATTCAATGCATCCAAAACGCAGAGATGTTTCTATAAAAACGAGGGAGAAATGAGGATTGGGTCGTCCCCATTTGGCTGGTCTCCAATCACTACAAAGACTTGCAGCCGATCACAAACTAAGCTGAACATCTATGGTTACTACTTCCGGTGCACTAATGTTTGTTTGGTCTTCATGTTGCTAAGTTTATGTTGCACCACTGCATCCATTGCTGCTTTTAAAACGTTAAAAATAAACCTTTATCGAAACGTTTAGCTTAGAGATAGTGTTGTTTGACATAAAGTGGGGGTTTAAATTGAAGATTCGATAATGTTTTTAGTGATTAGTCAGTAATTTTACATAATTAATAATTTTAATGAGGTTTGGAAAATAGTTCATTAATCTCTGGGTAGAATATGAAAAAAAAATCATCTTAGTAGAGAACACATCTTGCAGAAAGGATTGCAAACTCCGGCTACAGAAAGAGTGTCCTAATCCAACTTATTGCTAGATAAGGTTTTCCAAAAGAGCTAAATAGTTGCACAGTACGTTGTTCCTACTAAACCGTTTCAAAAATGTTGCCTAGTACCTTTCTAGTACCTGCTAGGAGGTCAGCTAGATATATACAATAGTCATCAATTTCGTGTGTTGAACATTGAAAGGAACGAGATACAAGTATTACTACACGACGGACTAAACAATTATTAGGAGGGATTGAACATATTTTAACATACACAATAGCAAGCATAATTTTGTGTTTTCTGACTATATACCCGTTTTAGATGTTTTTCTTAGGTTTACGATATCCATGGAAAATGTTATACACACGTATGGTGAGGAGTTTTATCATAGGATCGAGAAGTATTTATTCCGAACAAAAAAATCCAAAGTATTAAAAAACATTTTAATACTTAACTCATGCACCGTGTATTTAGAGTCTTTGGGTAGTGTTTTATTTTAATTTCGAACACCTTAGGCTAACAACTCTTTAGGTTTCGTAGAAAATGTTGACACCTACCCCCATTACCCAATTTTTTACTTGTTCACACTTTTTGTTGAAATTTCTCTTAATTTTCTGCAGCAACATAAACATATTCGAAAATATTTGTGGACTTTTACTACACCGTGCACATTTTGCAGTATATTCCGAAATTTTGCTCACACATCCTTAAAACATTGTCGGAACTTAAATTTGTTTACCACAACTCTATTGGTAATCACACCCCGCCCTAGTACCACACTTTTGCCGCTCTGGCTCTGTTTCCTAATTTTTGCATTTAATTACCCCAAAAGCTTGATCGCCCTAATGATCAACTTATCTCCACATAACGCACACTGCTCAGTGCTACTTGCCCACATGAATATTCTATTTGGTGCGCGCTTCACGCATAGTGCGTGTGAGAAAGTAAAACGGTCAGTCTCTATATAGATTTTTTCCACACTAGGTACCAATTTATGATTAGAGTTTAGATGATTTTTCGTGTTAGAAACTATTGCGTTACTCGTCAATGAGCTCTTGAAGTGCGTATAGATTAAAGGAGTAGACACCCCTTTAATGTCTGTATACTCCTTTCTATGGCAGAAGCCTCAAACCTTACTCGTGTGGTGCTGGAATGTAGGTTCACTAGTAAGCGTGTGATCACATTAACTCAAACAAAGAACCATCAGATTTTTAGATTTTTGAATAAAAAGTAACGGTGTAAGCCTGTAAAAAATAGGTACTATTATAGATGAACTCTTGATAATTATTGCATATATTGCATAATCATAGTTCATCTTATGGAAAGTGGGGTTAGGATAAAGAAGATGGATCTTTTACCCTAAAAAACGGGTGTTTACCTTTTTTGACCGAATAAAAAAGTGATGAATTATTTTTTACAATATAGGCTACATCTACTTATAATAATTAATGTCAGGTTAGAGTACTAACAGTAAAAGTACTACAGTATCAATATTTTCTATTTACAGTAGACCAGTGATACTATAGTCAGAGTATTTACAGTACTACTGTATTATCATTGTCAATCATTGAGATGATGGCGCACCTAAGTGGCCCAAATATGGGTGAAGGATGAGTGTAGAATGGAGTGAGATGATCGGTTTAGCTTGCTGACTGAAACAGCTGTTTCTAGCCAGGATATTTTTTTAAAGCCCAATCAGAGACAGTTGGATCCAGTTTCGAATCATCAATTAAACTACTGACTTTTAGTTCGCTCGCAAAATTTAGGCGGTTTGAGGGAAGTCCCCCCACTACCTTTTTTGCTTAATGTATGTAGCAGCTGACTGCCGTTTTGACAAACCGTTGAGCAAACCTCAGCTGTTGTGTAGTTTTTTCAAAGGTAGGCCCATGTGGGGGGTTGATTTCTTCCCATAAAACCGCCAAAATTTTGTGAAGTGCGTATAACAACTCAGGATCGATCTATGGTAGACTATTAACTTAGCATATTCCGCAAACTTCTTCATGTATTCGTATTTTACAGCTTATAAAAGAAAACAAATTACATTCTAATTTATGCGTTATAACTGCAGAGCTATTTCAAATCGTCTTGACAACGGCGAAGCAAGAAGTTGTTTTAATTTTGGTGTTTTACACCTGACTCTAATTATTATACTTCGTCCTTACGATTCAAGCACAGCGTAAATCACTACATTATTAATTAAACTACAGTAAGTTATGATACGATTTGATGATTGTTTGGTTAGTCGTATCACTATAATCATACTCTATTTTGTTTTCCAGCAGGAGGTTTCGTTCAACAAACCTGGCGAGTTGGAATTTTCGCAGTCAGACGAAAACACATCTCCGAGAAAGGTAGGCTCAAATACTCTCCATGTAGCTGTGAAGTGTATTGCATGTGATTGTAGAGTTGAGTGGGTCAGATGTTTAGTTTCGTTACTGACCTAAATCAGCTGTGACCATTTATTAACCCAATGAACCACAAGTTTCGAACTAAACAACAGACCTAAAGTATTAACAAATTACGTTAGTGGTTAAAATCTTGGGAGTTGTGTGTATTTCAAATTCTACATGAACGGTTAGTAGATAAGTAAAACGCGGAGGATGACAAGGTATCTCGGGAGTTTTACAAAGTCCCAAACGACCAAGAAAATATTTGGCTCCATCGTCATTGCAATTGTTCTCTCTTCTCGCTGGAGAAACAAAAAATGAGTGCAACTAGAAACAATGGATGCAACGTGTACATTTAGTTGTGCTATGTATGCTGCCTTTCCTTCCATTATATGGTCGTCTTCCTGGAACTGGGACGGGGAAGTGTTTGCACTTCCCTTCGGGAGTAAAATCTTGTAACGGTACCAAGACAAAGGAAAATTTACAAAAGTTATGTGCGCTGCTGTTAATGTTTTCATAATCCAACGATTGAAGCAAAGAATGGACAACCTACTGAAATTTTAAGGATGTGTTCTGTCCCCCGTCGACTATTATAGAACTGAAACCGCATAGATAAATACAACGTCAATATACACTCTGTAGTCTATCCAGTTAAAACATTAACTTATTATTGGATACAAGTAGTCAAAGGTAAAAACGTATACAGCTACCAAAATTATTAGCGTTAAAGTCTTTGCTACTTCTGTTCCTTGAATGAGATGTTAAATGTGACGCAAAACTATTGGGAAATTATTTAGTGTGAAATCAATCAGAGGATCGCAAGCAAATACACGTGTGAAGTATTTGAACATTATTAACCCGGTGAACAAAAAGATGATCTCAAAAGTATGAAAGAAACATTTAAGCCAAAACCAGCGCAATCATAAGCTGTCAACAAGAAACATACAACTAAAACAAGCTCGTGATTTTACAATATTATAAGAACTATTGAGAGGATCCGCTGTACTACTTTTTCGATTATGGTCCCGATAGTTAGTGATTGTGTCTTCAATGATATCACAAATATACGAGAACGCACAAAACATTCCAGTACACATTGTTATAATTCAGTTTTCTCCTTTTGTATTCTAAAAATCTTTAGAGTAACATCAACCAGTCTACACAAGTTTTAAGGTCAATAGTATTATGCTCGATTTCTAAAAACAGGTTGACTCGAGAAACCTCCCGTTCCTTGATATGCGATATACGACTCGACTGTATGGAGTTCCCACAATGCAACACGATATTAGGACGTTGTCCCCGGTACTGTACAGTAGCAGATCAGCTGATAGGTGACTTTACCCGAGTCAGCTGACCTTTCCCATCTCGGAACTGAACGAGTTTTTCCCGTTGGTGAGCTGGTGAACGACCTGTCGCTGTCGGTGAACTTGTGTTACCATCACGCCGTGATGAACTGATATGGAGTTAAGAGGAGTCAAACTTTAAAAGTATACGTACATGTATTTTTAAATGTAAAGCAAAAGAAAATTCTGCAGATTTATTATAAACTGAAGTAGGTTTAACTAGAAACCTGTTACCTCGGCACATACTTGAGTCTCCCTTAATTTTCTTCATCGGTGGATGATTCTTGTATAAATTCCCGTGTTAACAAAAGAATATTTTTGGTTAACAACAAATATTTTGTGGTTTGTTAACTTGCAAGTGTTCTTTATCAGTTGAAGTTATAGTGGAGGTTTGTAAGGATTAGGAATAAAATGTAAGGACCTGGAAGTTATTGGGTTTGGTTTTATATTTTTAGAAATTGCACCACACTAAAGATAAGTAGAGTGAAAAGGAAACTTGAGTTTAGTAATTGATAAGGTTTGTCGAACAAAACATTAAATTTTTAACTCTGGTGGTAGTTTTTGAACTTGTATAGTACAAATATTTGCAAAAACTCACACATCACTACATTCCCAGATGTAAGCTGGCGTTTTTTTGGGCGGGGGAGGTGTCATAAGGGCGGCTTGGTCGTGATTTCAGGATTTGACGTTATTGCTTCCGGTCGATAACAGCCCCGTTTCCGGTTGTCGTCTGAGCGTCCGTCCGGTTCCAAAATAAAATAGTTTCTCAATTAGCCTTCGACTATGGGACAGTTTTTCGTCGCTTCGATTATCAAAGCATTGAGAGATGTAATATAACTTGCAAAATGAACAAGTTTAGAAGTTAAAGTTACTAACATTTTAACATTGTTTGGCTTATAAGCAAAGTTTTATTTTAATTTTTTGCTTCTTAATATCATAACTGCCAAAAACGCCAAGGATTTTACACTATTGATTTAAACACGTCCAAAATTAAAATTTTAAAGAATACCCATTTTTGTAATAATGTTTATAAGCTAACTATACAGTTTATGGATACAAATACCATATGAATAAATCGAAAACGCATGTAGGTGCATTCTTCCAATTCAAATAACGTATCCACGTACAATTTTAACTCTCCGAAACTTTGTTTTAATGTTCAACTTTTTTACACTAATCCGACGGATGCCACTAATCACTGACCATGTTAGCTCAATTATTCCACCATCCTCTATGGCCGTGTCCTGTGCCGGTCGCTAACAGCTGTTAAGTTTCCGCCAGCTGACCGGTTATGCACGTCAGATCAGCTGATCAGCTGATCGACGTGTAATTGTTGAGTTTACACGCTGTCAGATGGTTCGTGCGATTAGCGGTCAAGCTTTCGGTGAGTTGTCAATTATATTTGCTGTTTTTGTGCCGTGTGGTTGTTTATTAGCGAATTTCCCTATAGGGAAGTAGCTATTACCGTAGGTCTCATGGTAAGACCTAACCCCGAGACCGATTTACTTTTTCATTTTGATGTCCACAGAGGCCAAAAACACCATTCGTTCAAATTTTTATATATCTATATATAGAGATATATATATATATGTGTCCATCCGCACGATAACTTGAGTAATTTTTGTCCGATTTTGATAAAATTTGGTTTGAAGGTGTAAGGCGGGATAAACTTGAATGAGTTCGCGAACCAGCATGATCGGACTATGGGAACGGGGGATTATGGGGGGTTTTATGGGGTAAAAATAGGTTTTTCCCATTTTTGAAAACACAAAATTTCACAATTCCTTTTTAAACCATTTTGTAGAGCTTAAAAAACAAATAATTTAGTATATTGAAGCGTTATTATGCGCCTAATTGTTACGGAGAAAATTCAAAAAAATTGTAATTTTAAAATTCCCATGTTATTCTTATGGAGAATAAGTCAACTGTTGTAGTTTGCTTGTTTATGAACATATTTTGATCAAATTTGGAAAATACATTAATTTTTACTAAACCACAGTACCTTTTAATATTTTACATTAAAAAAACTTTTACCCTCCCTGTTGCAGCAAACCTAAGTACTCATTAAACTAATTCTGTTTAAATAGGGAATAAATGTGATATTTTTAAGGAGATATTTTAGTTTAAATCTAATCAGGCAGATGGAAATTCGCTAAGTCTGCAGGTTTGCTGCGGCGGGGGTATATTATATTTTTTTTGTAGATTGCCTTTATTTTGAAGGTGAATTTAGTGAATTGTTATTATTAATTAATGATATTTATCGTTTTAATAGAATGTTGGGTACCTATTTGAGTAGATCTCCTACCTATCTACATGCACCAGCTGTAGTATAAAGGTCTAACAATTAAAAAGTCGCAGATTCGATCATGAGAAAAGCTTTGATCCTTAAGTCTGTAGCTTTTTGATGATTCGAAACTGGACCCAGCTGTTCCTGATCATTAATACTCCCAGGCTTTAAATAAATGATCCTGGCTGATGAACCAGCTGATCTTAGTCAGTAACAAAGCTACAGAGATCATCTCACAACATTCTACAGATATCCTTTACTCATATTTGGGTTAAAATACGACCAAGGTGGCGTCCACGTAATATCAAATAATTGATAAATGATATGTTTTTCCTAGAAATCATACTAATATTATAAATGTGAAAGTTTGTGTGTTTGTTTGTTTGTTTGAAGTTCAATCACGCATTAACCCCTGGTCGGATTGTGTTGAAATTTTGTATGATGATAGCTCACATTCCCGATTAACATATAGACATATTCTTACCTCAAAAATCCTTTCGGGCTCCGGGCTCCGCCCCAGCGGCTCTAGAGTTTCCCATGTTAACCTTAGGAGTATTCATATTTAAAAGGAATTAAATAATTTTGCCAGCTGTTTCAACTACACAATTTGTTTCTATGATATTCAATAGCATTAAAAGGTTTTACGGCTTACAAACAGGGTGCAGCACCATTAGTTCTTCATACATTTATGACAACAGCTAATTTGAACCAAGCAGCAACAAAAACCTGAGTGTGAGAACTTTACTTATTTCTATTGTTTAGGTGAAGTGGTAGAACATTATGGCTATGGTAGATGTTCTATATACTATAGTATACTGTAGATTATAGTAAACCAAATTTTCTCAAAACGTGTCCTCTCTCATTGCAAATGCATAGCACGAGTATTTAACTACAATAAGCATTTTATAAAAAACCCCGTACGAAGGACGGGTACTCACTCAGCTAGTATAACATATTTAAAAGATTCGCTAATTATTTTTAGCTGATTCATAATGATACTGTAACTGGCAAGGGAGTATTTTAATCGATATTTAAAAGGAACACAGTCCAGTCGAATAATTTCACTTTTATGCTCAAGTTCAAGTTAATATTTGAGCTCCTGATTATGGACGCAACAGTGTAGAAACCTTGTACACGATTTGCCCAATGTTTCACATCTTTTTAAAACAGAATCCATGTTATCGTACTTTTTACAATATACAATGCCGCAAGGGGTGTGCGGCTTTTATTTTTACGATTTTGGGGGAAGAAAGATGGGGAGGGCAGCCCAGCAGTCTGCGACATATTGTTATCCAATATGTCTTGTTTCTCATTGTTGTTCCTCCATAAATGTC